GAAAAAAATTTGCTTATAGGGCACATAATTGGCTTAAAATGGTCGCAAGAAAAATATTGTTCGATTTATACATGAAACAAAGTGTAGTTAAAAGAGCGCGATTTTGTTTGGACGTTTATTTTAGGCTGGAACTTATTACAAAGCTCCAATTCTAATAATAGCCCTCTTCGTGTTACCATGGAGGTCAATGATATCTGTTTTTACTTTTCTTATCTCTGGCCAGCAACTCTACCTCAACAAACTCGCCAGAGCCCAAATTATACCAAATTTCGAATTTCTTTTCTAAAGAAAAATGTCATAACATGTATACTTCCAACAACTTTTACACAGGACTGAACAAGAAGATCGAGACTTTGCTCATGAAGTCAAGAAGGAGCTGACGACGGAGATGCGAGAGGATGTAAGATCTTTGAATGAAAACAACACAAATGTCAAAGGTTGGTTTCTTAGCTTAGCTTTCTTACGATACGTATAAAGTATTGTTAATGAAACAAAAATAATTACAAAAGGTGACAAATTAAGTTTATTCACCTACAGTTTCACGTACAAAGATTCTGTTACTTCTGGCGTATTCAATTTCGAACAGGATCAGTGATCATACTGACTGGGAAATTGGTAAACATCTTTTACCTTCTGTATTCATAATTAAAAAGCTTTCGAAGCTACAAAGTGTCACTAATAAGCGTTTTTTAGGTTGTTTTTTTTGTAATATCCTTGCCTTTCATCTACAAGACTGAACTGTACTGTACTCTACAAAGCTGGAAAGCGAGTCAGCAGTGTTTATACAATCGATCCTGACAATGCCGGTGCATTCGATGTATTTTAGATCCAAAAAACAGGCAGTAGAGGGTGGACAGTGTTTCAAAAGAGACTGAACAGCTCTGTCGATTTCTACCGCGGATGGGACGACTACAAACGAGGCTATGGAAATTTTGGCCCGGCCGGATTCGACAAGACACGTCGACTGGCAAAAGAACGAAGCAGACTTCACGTGGACCCTGAAGATAATGACGGAAAGAAAACATATGCCGAGTACAACTTCTTTGGTGCTGCCAGCGAAAGAAGTAAATACAGACTGAGTCTTTGAATATATACTGGTTTGTGATTTGTGCTTTTTCAGGTGGCATTAATGCTACACATGTAGTCTACATGTGGTCGAGGAAGATGAGAGAAAGAAACTCAATTCATTTTAAGCTACATACATTTTAAATCTCTTTGCTTTCTGAGCCTTAACTTTTTAATTCCTTATTTTTGCTTGACTCTGGAGGAACTGCTGGAGACTCATTTTCCTATCACAAAGGCTCCGCTTTTTCCATCAAAGATCGAGACAACGACCAGGATGGTGGTAGCTCTTGTGCCCCACATTGCAAAGAAGCCTGGTGGTACACAAATGTCTTCTCTGTAATCTCAATGGTTTTTACCTACACGCACCACACTCTACTGCATGGGAGGCGTGAACTGATACAAATGGAAAGGCCATAGTTACTCCGGCAAACGAGCTGAGATGAAAATCAAACCAGTCAATTCAACTCCATTGTTTACTTATTTCGTAACAGCACTGTCTCTGTTTTCTGGTTTCTAAAACGTAAGAAGGGTACGAAGTACATCACAGATTGAAGCTTAGTAATGGGTGATGGATGTATTTTATTTCAAAATCTTACGAGTGTCTGTAAATAATAATGATTTTTGCTTTTATCTCTGTTCTGTCTGTCATTATTGTGAAACTGAACATAGAGATTGGCCTGAAGAACGTTGAAGAAAACCAAGGAAGCCAGAGACAAGAGAAGACAGAAAATTTTTAAATATTTCAAAGCCAAAAACTTTCTTGCCTCTTAAGACGTTCGTCATGAATGTTGAAAAATCATAGAAAATTGAAATATTTTATTTGTCATCATCGATCTTAATACTCGGAGAGGCCACTAATGATTTAGTTGGCTCAATTTGTTTTCTAGGAACTGTACTCAAATCGTAATTTGAACGAGGCCTAAGAGTAGGATTGCTGAGCTCAGAAGTTGAATATAGTCAACAAAAACTCTCTCTCTCTCTCTCTCTCTCTCTCTCGGATTGAATGAGCCCCCACAATTGCTTCCCAAAATTAATGGAACATCGAAAGACAGGCTGCCTTAAAAGTCCATTAAAGATTGCTAAAATCGGTTCCTATCTGAAATTATAGAAAGCAGTTTCGAAAACCGTTCGGGCCATAACCATTTCTGGATATCGGTTTCGAGCTTTGTGATTGGGTGAGATCAAAACCAAAACAAAGCAAATTTGGCCGAGAGGTGCTGGAAACAAGAAGAAGCTGATTTTTTTTTTTGTGGCGGCCATGTTGTAATGCGGTAGCAAGCTGAAACAAAATTCGCTAATAAGGACTGGACGTAAGATACCATTAAAAATATTCGTTTATTTCAAACATTCAACATGCATGTCCTCGACATTCTCGCATTCTGGAAGAGTAAAGCGGATTCTTTCTAGTACAAATTCTTTGTAACGCTGTGGTCCTTCCACCAAGAGTGTCACAGGAATAAAAGCTCCTCCGCCAGCCTGTTTGTATCTGGAGAACTTCTGGGTAGAGCTTGGCCTCGATGTTACTGTCCGTTCTCCGTTGATTTCCCTATTTTGGGTTACAAGAAAACCAATTAAATAAGGTTGAAGCAAATAACGCGCACCGATAACAATTGGGAACGAGCGAGGTGTGAGTTCGCGGAATCGGGATAATTTCATTTCTCCCCAGTATAGGTCGAGGAAAGACAATATCTTGCTTCTCTCCGATTTTTAAAGAGACATTATCAATTTCAGTCCATCAAGCCTTTACGAAAAAGTAACAGTAAAGCAAGAAAACAGTAACTTACCCTTCAATTCCCGGTTATTTTGCCACATCGAAGCAAAGCATGCAGCTGTATGTTTAGAAAGTGCTGAACCGTGCCGATCTGCTGCCCTTTGACATCTCCTAAAGTGTTTGCTTTCTCTGCGATTTGCTGAAAATCTGGACTTCTCGTAGAGCGTCTGGAATGCGTTCCATTTCTCGTGGAAGAAGACAAGCCAGTGCATGCGACGCATACGTGTTGTCGTCTTCACTTTGAATAACAAGCGGTGTTCCACGTGGAGCTTTGATCTTGAAATTATGATACCTGGAAAATAAACGCCAATAATTACATGAGTGGGATAAAATAAAATCAAGTAGTCACAACCTATATTAAGACGAATACACATGATCGAATTCAATGCAAGAGAATCATACAAGGTATTTTGCGCGCTATTGATCGATTCGCGGGAGAATCTTGGTCTCAGAACACTACAAATTCGGTCCTACAGCTTTTAGTCAGCAATAATATGTCCTTTACAATTACCCTTTGATTTGAACACCCTGTATAGAAAGTTTGTTTAGGTAATCACTGCAAAATGTGAAAGCACGAGCGGTGTTTCTAAACGAGTTTCACAATTACAGACAAGTCCCTTGTGGTTTTAGACGAAAATTTCACTCTCATCAGTTCGTGTAGTTAAACTCCAACCTTTGTTTCCGGAATGCTGTAATAGAGACACTTCGGCAAGGCTTTCCACCAATGTGATTTCTTTATTTTCATCTTCATGCCGCTCTTATCGCACATTTCCCGGATGCGATACCTGAAGATGTGAGAGCTCAGTGAACGAATACCTCTTTGTTTTATGTTTGCCCGAAGGAGAACTTACTCGCTGGATAATCACATTTATGTGTTAGATCCGTGGTTTCCTGAAATTATTTTTTAGTGTGCATTCGCCTTGGCTGAATGAATCTCTCTGATGTCAAGATCGACATTGATTCGAAATTTCATCCAGAGCTCCGATTTAAAAGATTCTTTGTTTGTAGCACTGACCCAGGTTCGTGGCAGATTTGTGCCACAAAGACGACAAAGTGTCTCGAGATACTGAATGTGTTCATCCATGCTGTTGGCTTGATCTGAAATTCACAATGTAGGCTTATAAAGGTCCGATAAATAATTGTCCTTTTACTTTAAATTGGCCGGCCACAACGTATGGTTAAAATTTATGGTTTACACGATACTCCGATGGATCTGAAGATCTGATGTAAATGGATCTGATCTCTCTCTCTCTCTCTCTCTCTCTCTCTCTCTCTCTCTCTCTCTCTCTCTCTCGCTTGGAATTTTGACTCTCTCTCTCTTCTCTCTCTCTCTCTCTTTCAAAAAAAATCTCTCTCTCTCTCTCTCTCTCTCTCTCTCTCGAGCCCTTCGCAACATGGACCTCCACCCGACTTTTCATCTAAATTTTTCCTTCTCGTCATCGCGACCACCATCAGTTCTTTGCTTGTTGTGTGTAATTGTTTATCTTCTGTAATTTTGCAAGGTTTCACGGGATATGGGTAGGGAACTAAGTCGCTAGGGCTCGAATAAAGTAATGAGTGAGTTTCCTCGATGTCCCACTACGACATCCATGTTGGTGACGTCATCAAGTATCCAGAAATGGTTATGGCCCGGACCGTTCATTGCTTCATACGATGTCTGAAACCTGTCTTTGGCAAAAATCTTCAGTCTGAAACATGTCGTCTGAATAAATTAGGTTTCTTCCAGTTTTGGTCATGTATTCCAACTTTTATTCATTGTGGTTGGGGGTTTTCTTTTTTTGGCATTTGATGGATTAAAACAGATGAAGGCCCTTTTCAGGTGGTTTTTGTTTCTTTCGTTCCTCAAGTTCTTATTTCCCTTTAATTTAGCTCGGGTTGATTTGTCATTATTTGAGGCTTTCAGTTGTTGTCACGGAAATTTTGGTTTTCAGTTATTTTCCGAGATAGGCTCCAGAGCCCTTCCTTAGTGCTTCAAGTTCTTATTTCCCTTTAATTCAGCTTGGGTTGATTTACCATTATTTGAGGCTTTCAGTTCTGAAGGCTCTCATTCCGGTTTTTCGCTTTTGACGGAAATTCTGGTTTTCGGGTTTCTGAGAGAGTTTCCCATAGGCTCCAGTGCCCTTAAGTATTTAAGAATGAAGGGTGTATCTAGTTGACAGTCAAAGTATCGCTAGAGGCTTTTGCCACGGCTAACTGAAGCTTCAACACCGGCTGATCATGGCTCGCACTGAGTCTTCCTGGATTGTTCTGCTTTTTGCTTTCATTACAACCATCCCAGATGAAACAATGGCAAATGCTAACTTATCACAAGTTTCTCCTTTGAGGGAAAAATGTCAAAATGTATACAACTCCAACAATTTCTATGCAGGACCGAACAAGAAAGTCGAAACATTACTTCATGAGGTTAAGAAGGAGCTCAAAGAGATACAAAAGGATATCAGCCATCTGAAGGGAAATAGAACAAGTGTAGAAGGTAAATATCAAATTGCTGATCATGGTTGCATTTCAATATTTCAAAAATTATCTGCAAAATTTGGGTTGATTTCTACAGTTTATTTTGGCAAAGATCTCCCATTACGAAGGTTTCACTGTTATTCTGGTATGAAAAACAGTTTTCCTCGATATGACTATATTCGAATAGCGAGGAAAAGGGGATGTAAGGTATAACGGAAATCAGTCATTTATTCCATATCATAGTGATTATCTCTTTTTCTCTGAAATACATCAAATTTAGCTTGAGACTGGCAGTCAAATTTATCCTTTATTTCAGTCTTTAGGAACTGCGCTGAACTCTACAAAGCTGGAAAGCGAGTCAGCGGTGTTTATACAATCGATCCTGACAATTCCGGTGCCTTCGAGGTCTTTTGCGACCAAAAGACAGCCGGTGGAGGATGGACAGTGTTCCAAAAGAGACTGGACGGCTCGGTTGATTTTTACCGCGGATGGAACGACTACAAACGAGGCTTTGGAAATTTAAACGGTGAGTTTTGGCTCGGACTGGACAAGATTCATAGGCTGACAAAAGAAAGATGTAGACTTCACGTAGACCTTGAAGATATCAACGGAAATACTGCGTATGCCGAGTACGACTTCTTTGGTGTTGCTAGCGAGAGAAGCAAATACAGACTGAGTCTTGGATCATACTCTGGTATGTGGCCAGTACTTTCTAACATATCTCTCAGATGAGGATTCTCTCGCTACAATTTCCATCCCTCAGTACGACACCTGATTAGTGCTGCGTTTATTTGTCCAGCAGTAAAGGACGGTCGATAATTTGGCCAAATAAAACAAGATATTTGTCACTCCAAGGCACCATTACATTATTACATAGTTACATCTGTACAATTTCATAAAAGCCGTTTGGGTATTAAAGTTTTCGCAACCAAACTTTTTGGCGTTTACCTTTTTTGCAATTTCCCGACCAAATTGTTGTATTCCTTAATCTTACCTAACGGAGAATCAAACATCATTTTTCAAAAAAGTGCTGTTCGATGAGGTTAAGTTCCATTCCAGTAATATGTAACATTTTTTCTCTCTTATTCTGGTGAAAAAGCTTTATGTTCCATATTTTTGTGTTTCTTCAAAGGAACTGCTGGTGACTCATTTTCTTATCACAGAGGCTCAGCATTTTCCACCAAAGAGCGAGACAACGATCAGAATGGTAGCACCAACTGTGCCACACGTTGCCAAGGAGCCTGGTGGTACAATTCCTGTTTGCGTTCCAATCTCAATGGTCTTTACCTACACGGCCCACACTCTACTTCATGGGAAGGCGTAAACTGGCACAAATGGAAAGGCCATAGTTACTCCGTCAAACGAGCTGAGATGAAAATTAAACCAGTTAATTAAACTCCACTGTTTACTTATTTCGTAAGAGCACTGCTTCTATTTTCTGGTCCAAAACGTGAAGGGTACATAGTACAACACAGATTGAAGTTTAGTAATGGGTGATGAGTGTGTCTGAGAATAATCAATTTTTTTCTTTCATATTTGATTTTGTCTGTCATTACTGTGAAACTTAGCATAGATTGGCTAGGAGAAAGTTGAAGAAAACCGGAGACGAGAGAAGACAGAAAACGCCTAAGTATGCCCGGAAATCAATATTTCCAATATTTCTAAGTTTTTAAGACGATCGTCGAGAATGTTGCGAAATCATAGAAAATTAAAAAATTATATTTGTCATCATCGGTCTTATTACTCGGAGAAGCCACTGATGATTTGGTTGCATCCTTTTGTTTTCTAAAAACCGTACTCAAATCGTTCTTTAACCGAAGCCTAAGAGCATAGTTGCAGTGTTCAGAAGTTATGAACATATAGTCAACAAGCAACTCTCTCTCTCGGATCTTATGAGCCCCTACCATTGTTTCCCAAAATTATCGGAATATCGAAATACAGGCTTCCCTAAACGTCCATCAAAAATCGATAAAATCTGTTCTAATCTGAAATTATGGACAAGGGTCATCCATAGGTGTCCGTTTTATTGTTTCCTTTTGTCTTTCCTTTCCTTTGCGGCTTCGCAACTTGTTGAAAAGCTCCCCATCAAAACCGCCAGTTACGCACACTAGTTAAAATATACGACCTCGCATGTAAAATCGGCTATTTATTACTCAACAAATCCCTAAGAAAGCTCGAGTTAATGCTTCAATAGCGTCTAGTTTAATTTGCGATTAAAACTTTGCTAAATGAAAAAAGCAAAATTATCGCGAAAACGGACGTCAAGTAATCAAAGAAAATGCCACGCGATCTCATTGCTTGAATTCCTTGGCAACGCGACCCATCTTGAGTGCTTCGATCGAAATATGTTCGCGAGATTAATCTCACAACCTCAAAGTTAAAAATAATTTTCTTAATTAATTACGGCAGAGCAACGTACGAAGTAAAAGGGAGAGGCTAACTAAAATTTCTGCCGTATCCAAGTAATGTTGGTGTTAAGTTTGAACAAGTGGCAACGGGGCGGGGAAAATTATCGTATAAAAAGAACTAAATTACGGACACAAGTTCAGCTGGCAATTTCCCTGAGAAGTAATTGACCAAATAGGTCGCTACCAGGAATATTTATTTTAACAATTAGAATGACCACAAAAGGACCGATGTACACGTGTACACAGCCCAAATTTCGCTCAATGAATTGCTAAATCTGGGCGCCAAATTTGAGGGAAATCGGAAGTAACTCGATTTTTTACGAGCTTTTCCTCTTTAGACCTCTGATTGGTACTTAAAAAACTGCTGCACTTTGTATTTTTGAATAAAAGACAGCTGTTTTTACAGGAACATGGAGGTGACAGCGTCAAAAAACGACTAAATCCAGGCCTGCTGCTGGAGTATATCGCCTGCAACTAGAACCCAGTACTCCTGTCGAATGAAGATCTTAAAGCAGCCTGACAGATTTCGCTGTGTTCATTGCTTAATTTTTGCACTCGAATGCGACAGCTTTACTTGGCACGCCTATTCCAAGCACCTGTGAGGTTTTTGACGATGAATGTAGAGGGGAAGGGAATTCAAGCGAAAGTAACGTTGAATGATGGCTACCAAATGCCTTTGTTCGGCCTCGGTGTTTACAACGCGAAGGGCGACGATTGCCGTAATGCAGTGAAGTTTGCTCTGCAGAATGGATACCGCTTGATCGATACAGCAACTTTTTACGAGTAAGTTTGCTTTGCTGGACCATGTAGTGATTTTTACTTATTTGCATCCTTGGTACATACGGTAAATGTATAGTGAGATGATTTATACGAACGGGGAAGCTTCTCCACTGATCATGAAACAGACGCACAACTGGGAAAATACACTTTTCGCTTTTTACATACGGTAAATGTATGGTGAGGTGATTTATTCAGTCAGCTCTCTGTATCATGTTGCGTAAGACGCGGAGGGTATATATGTACTTCATACCCACTGCATTGTGGCTTTGGTACGCTGAAGCTTGCCATTTTTCTAATTCCGCTCCTTCCCCTGGCACTTGCGTCGATGACCTCAGCTGAGCGTAGAGCGCGTCTCACGTGTCACCGATGAATCGTTTCAACTCCAAAGTTTATTGGAACTTTCCTCATCGAACGCACACTTTCGTGATTGATGTGATTTGTGTGGTTTGACTTAAAACGATTAAATGGTAACAGCTTGCTATGTGCAAAATCCGACGATGGAAAGAATTAAAGTGACAGAAACGAATTTACATATGTTTCCAAGTGGTGATAAGAAAAAAATACTGAAAAACGTCTCTTCTTGCGCAAGGTCTGTTGTGAAATTGTCATTGTGTAATGGTCTCGAAATATTACAAAGTTAGCCAGAAATCGTCAGGAAATAACTCATTTAAGTCTTTTCAGCTGTATTTATATATGTACAGCCTGTTTTCATGCTTTTTAACGTATTTAATGAACAAATTATGACGTTTGAAAATATACCTCCTTTAAGGGGAGAAGTCATTGTCCATGGAAATGGAAATTATTTTTACCAAGCTGTTGCTCTCTGAAAGGATGAAATAAGTGATGAAAAACATGAGGAAATCCCCTGTTCAAGTGATAGTTTGTTTGAGAAAAATCCTAAGGTCTCTGAGCTGCAACTTTTCTTCTCGAACTCCTTGAAGGATCTTGTCAGGAAAAGCAAGATCACAGGAATTCCAGCAGAAACTGTGAACATATCATTGGTTGTGCATCACTCCTTAAGGGACCAATTTGTATCACTCATCATCACAAAAGGGAGGGTTCAGTTTTGAGCTGAGTATTAACACTGATTCGTTTGCATTCATCACAACAAAGAAGCAGTGTAGGTGATTTGGCACTTTAATGTACATACTGCAATATTTAATGATCAAGCATGCCATTTCAATCTCCTGCTGCCTCAAGTTAGCTCTTCTAGCGCTCTTTTGTATTACCAAGCCATGAAAAATGCTAGAAGTAGACTTAGCACACGTTCAAAAAACTGGAATGGCTTAGTTGAGTTATTCCTTGGGGATTTGAAGTTATGTTTTCAAAATGTCAAGACCATTACATGATGTCAAATTCATAATAGACCTTGTGCAGGGAGACAAGTTAATCGGTAGATTTTACTACATATTACATGGTTTTTCAAACAAAAACTTATGCCTTCCTAGTATCAGATTTAGTCAAATCCATTTCTGATAAAAGAGCGCAGATAAAGTGAAAATCTCTCGCTAAAATCATTTTTTGGATGTTGGAACAACTGTTTGCCATACATTTCCTTCTAGTGAGTTGCATTGTTTGCCCCATGGTGATCCCAAAAATCTGTGCGTCAACACAAGGATCCGGTTACTGGCAACTCGTTCATTGCATGCACTGTGCTTCATGTGATTTTTCAGATGGGAGTGGTGCATCTTTCCAACTGCATCCCACAGAAGTTCTCAACCCAGCAGTCTTAATTCTTTTCCATGAGACTAATTCAGGGTTCATATTTTACTGGCAGTGTAGGTTAAGTGTTCTCAGTTTAAAAGAGTACTTGTAACAAAAAGAAATCTTGAAATATTCCATTAGTAATGAAGCTGAAGTTGGACAAGCAATCAAAGAGTCTGGAGTGAAGAGAGAAGATATCTTTGTGGTGACAAAACTCTGGAATGATGACCATGGATATGAAAAATGTTTAAAGGCTTTTAACACAAGCCTGAAAAAGTAAGTAAGGACAATTTATTTGGCAATGAAGAACTGCTTTAGCTGGTGACCATAATGTTTGATTCAAAGTTGATATTGTAAGGAGAAATTAGATGTTAGTCACTCGTAAGGGGAGGGTTCTTCCTCTTGTGGTAATTTTTTGTAAGTGGGAAAATTCTTTATATGAATAAAGAATAATGAAAATAGATGGAGGCTGGCAAGTTTGGTTTTGAAAAACTTTCCATGAGTCCTCCTGAGCTTTGTAAATAGTCAAGTGGTTTTGCTTGCTTGAGTGGGAACTTTCACATGATTATTTGTTCATCCAGTACCAAATTCTCTGAACTGACATCATAAGAATTGTATAGCAGATGGTAAGGAGAATTACTAATAAGATCTTGGGGGTGAAAGAGTAAAAAATTGTCAGATTCAATATTGCCAAAGTGATTGTGGCTTCTGATTTATTGAACCTTTTTTGCAGGCTTGACACTGGGTACATTGATTTGTATCTTATTCATTCACCCAGTCCTGGGGGCAATGTTGACTCATATAAGGCCATGCTAAAGCTTCAGGAAGAAGGTGTTTTAAGGTGATCAGTTATATGCTATTATATGAAAAGTGAAAGGAATATTTCTATATGTAATACTTTTTTTTTGTCTGTCAAACAAGAACTTTAGCAGGCTCTCTTATGTCACAAAGTCATGCATCAAGCTTCATCCCCCTCTCCCTTCCCCTTTCTGGGCTACCTGTGGGCATGTGAGTGTTTAAGTCCAGTGCCCTGGGGGTAGGGAATTTGAACCATGCCTGGGTGGGGTGAGAAATTTGAACCAGCAGAATGCAAATGTTTTAAATATAGAGGAGTTAAAAGGTAAAGAGTCTGTTTCTGTGCACAAATGGCTAAGAAGAAATTTGAATGATGCTTACAAGCAAAAGACCCTATTCTGCACTGCCAATGCATCAATCTTCAAAAAATTAAATGCCCAGTTGGTTGCCCCAAAGGGGATGTGGAAGCTTTGATTGACAAATAACTTTGGAATTTTTGTATGAAGTCTTTTGTGTGAATTTGATAGTAAGTCATTTGTGTTTTGCAATCAAATATAATTGCAGTACATTACAGGTGACCTTTGGACACTGAGTCAGCAAGTAGTGCTGTCTCACTTACTGGAGGTTGTATAATAATGCTAGATGGTAGTGTTGCAGGATATTTGTCTTACATGCAAAACAGAAAACCTGCCTCATCCCGCATATTTATGAGTACCCTGTTCCACAAGAGAAAGATGATTTTAGAATATATTGTATATTGTATTCAACTAATAGTTAAATGGTAACAAATTATAATATTAACATTGATAATAATGATATCAATAGTAATATGTAGTAATTTATAGGAGCCCTACTCAAAAGCCTCATGGCTCCTCTATCTTCTGGATTCCAACAATGATTACGTATGCTTCTTTTAATTTCGCCTGTTGATTATAAAATAAGAAATTATTTATTCTATTCCAAGCATCTGTGATCCATTTCCATTTCTGCGAATTTTGTTTTATACATCAAATTCGGCGTTTAGGATATTCCGTCATTTCACGTCTTCTGATATTTCGCCATTCGCCGATCCACCATTCTGTTAAATAACTCAAGGTATCGTTTTTCGCTGCTTACTCGCTTCGCAAATTTGGCGGCTCTTTTCGGCATAAGTCGCTGATAAAATGTTCTCTCTTCATATAAAAAAGTTTCCCTTTAAGTTTCACCATGCGCCGATCACACCTATCAAGATATTTCTTCAAGGAAAAATTTTGTTGTTATAGCAAGCAATCCTGAAATGATTGCGAGATGTTTACGTCTCACTTGGTGTCACGGCAAGAACTAAAGCCATAATGCACTAGTGGCTAAAAGCCAGAAATCACAAAAGGAGAGAACTCAACTATGTGTTGAGTGCGAATGTCGAACTACTAAGATACTCCGAAACAAATGATAAGTAGCACCGGGAAACTCGGGTCAAAATTGGGTAAAGATCGGAATTCTATTGTTACACATCACTTGCTCCTCTCGACGACGTAAAAATGTTTGGTAGTTCTTTCTTCCCTTTGTTCTCTTATTGTTTCACTCGTTCTAATAATCATTTTCCTTCGCGTTGATTCATTACTTAACCTTGAATTCTTTGTCTTGTCGTTTCATTTAATTTGTCTTTTCGTTCTTTCTTTTACTTACGTATTGACTTAGTCACTCGCCTTCTCATTTATCACATTATTATTTCTTCAGTTTATTCCAAATAATGTTTCTTCCTTTCATCAAGGTCTGCTGGAGTGTCCAACTTTGGTGTGAATCATCTTAAAGAGATGGAAAAGGCAGGCCTTCCGATACCAGCTGTCAATCAAATCGAGCTTAATCCTTTTTGGCGATTAGATGACATTGTCAACCACTGTCTTGAAAAAGGCATTGCACCAATGGGTTACTGTCCATTGTTTCGTGGCAGGAAAAACAATGATCCAGTTTTAATTGAAATGGCAAGTAGGTGAGTATGAAAGTACCTAGTTTACATGCAGATCCACTGGATCTTTTCACTTTCCGTCACCTCCATTGCACTGGGTGCCCAATAAAAAACAGTTTTGCAAGCTGCAGTTGGTAAAAAATTATAAATATGACCATTTGCAGAGTTTTTGTTATTTAGCATCCCTTAATCTTGTACACCCTTACATCAGTATGTGTATTCTCCAAACTGTTCACCATACACTTCCTTGGGTGCTGACAAGGAGAATTTGTTTAGCAATCGAGAGCTTCTCTAGTTGGTGAACATTTCCGTCACTCTTGTGACCTTAACGTGTGATTCAGGGGTGATATTATAAGGAGATATTAGATGGTACTTACTCTTGGGGGTCAAAGGGGTCAATAATTGGAAAAAAATATTGCTGACGTGTTAGGACGAAAGGAACCAACAACTTATCCTAAGACGCCAACAGCGGATAAAGCTAAATGTGTATAAAGGCTGGCATCGGTGTGCTCGCTACCGCTACAATCAATTCTTCAATTTTTTAAAATCTTTACCTAAAATAGGAATTTTTTGATAGGCTACTCGTACTCAAATTTCAAGCTTTCAATGTGCCTTGCGTGTCCCGCAATGCCTCCCCAGGAGCACAGCCCAAGTTAAGGCTCAAGATAGTACGATCAAACTGTTTACGACATAAAGCGTGTACTGGTCTGGAAATGTTTATCAGATTCCATTTTCAAATAATCTCTCTGCCTCTTTTAGGTACAATAAAACTATTCCACAAGTCCTCATCCGGTGGAGTGTGCAGAAAAATTACATCACCATCCCCAAGTCCAGTAAACAAGAGAGAATTTTAGAAAATGGAGACATATTTGACTTCACTATTAGCGAAGAAGATATGAAAACTTTGGTAAGAATAGATTGAAATGGGTTTAAAATTCTCCACTTTTGCAAGAAAGCTAAGACGGTAGACAGAAAGTTGTCACAAGTTTTGCTCCCTTCGTCTACGCCAATACAAAGGAAACTTATAGTACTGAATAACAAAAGCAAATGACTTGCGTATTTTTTTTCGACCGTGCGCGCTAAAAAATCGAATATACGTGTCAGACTAGCCTGTGTCTTAGCGTATGAAATTTTGGTTGCGCTGTTAACATATACGCGAGCGGTACTGTATTTTGGCCACGCTTGCCCCACAATGTTTTTAAATGAGTGCTCTTATCTTTATATATATTATTCAGAAGGGTAGTGTTCTGAGCTCTGGGGAGATTACCCAATTTTCTTGTTGTTAACCTCTTAGTGCTTGAATTTAACAGTTGTTTTATTTCTTTTGGATGCAAACGCATATAGCCTGCGCGACAGGCACATTATCAGGCCGAGGCAAACACAAGGTTAGCGCGTGGGGCGCGTCACTCTCCTCTCTTCGCGCTAGTCTCAATCCTTGCGCTCTTCATGCGCTCTCTTTGCGTTCGCCTGAAAACGCAAAAAAATGAGTCGCCGGTCGCGCGGGCTTAAACACATGAGGACAGTAAAGCACACAACAAGCGTTTAGTCCCAAACCTAACACGCTTATTAGTCTGTAAATACAAATGAGTCTCATAGGTATTGCTGCAAACGGGACTAAGCACAAATGGCTGTATGGGGCTGTGTCTGAGGTCATACGAGGCGTATGTAACTTTGATTCTCTTTACATGAGGTACTTGATGATCATGTTACTTATACAATCGTATTTCAGGATAATATGCCCGCAGAACAGTGCACTACCATGAAGGATATCACAAACTCGCTATGGAGAGGTTAACGTCGAGTTTATCAAGCCATTCACGAACGGGGAAGCTTCTTCACTGATTATGAAACAGACGCACAATTTGGAAAATATTCTACCTTTTTTGCTGTGGTTTAATTACCCCTAGGCTTGTTTATGAGCCTTTCTAGGGACCGTGCATAATCATGCATGCTTTCTTCACGAAAATTTTTTTTTGATCTGCTAGCCAATGTTGATTCATATATATCAGTGCTTTGTGAAAATCTTGCATATCGATATTGGTAATTTTTTTAAGGCGGGTTAGTAGGACACTCAACCCTCTTGATGCTACGCTCTTCCATTTCAATTAGGACGACATCCTCGAACTGATGAGTTTATTTTCTCTTGTTACCCGTTTGTTAAATAATGTCTTGATTTTGTCAGAAGGGTAGTAACAGCTTAATTGCCTCTCGGAATTAGAGGGGTTGATTAATTTTTTTTCCAAATCTTAGCAAGATAACGTATGTAATCTTTTGTAATAAAACGTTTACATGCTAACATTAACGATCTCATCTCGATTCATTCACACAGAATTTTTGTATATGAAATAGCTGTCCATGCAGTTCAAATTGTGGAACATTAGTTTTTCTTCCTTGGATGCCCCTCAGTGTGTTTGGTGGGATGTGCCGCCCGGTTCTTGCCCCTATTTCAGACCGAAACATGCCATTTCCATTATTCGTTTTCAGACTCGGTGCCCTGTTTCTCAAAAGTTTCGTGAAACCAAATTTATTGCCAAAAACCTGAGCTACATTTTTAAAACTTCTCTTTAATACATCCTTAGTTGACAGACACCTCCATTCAAATGACGAAAACTTTGGGCCAAACTGAAAAAGTTCTTCTGCAACCTTTAATGAGAAAACATCTCTATTTAGGGGACACTTTCTTTTGGACAAAGGGCTCCCCTGGGTGGAGGTTCTGCTCAAGGGAAGTAAGGGAAGAAGAGGTTGGGGGGGGGGGGGGGGGGGGTAGAGGCTTGTCTCCTAGCTCTTTGGTACTAAGTATCACTAAGTTACTCAACATACTACAGCTACAAAGTTTATGGTCTTAAAATAACGATATTAGAAAATAAAGGGCAATGCTAAGATACCATAATGATCTCTTGGCAATACTGTAACTGAACGTTCAAGTTGTTGCTCAGTTTTAAGTTGAGCTCAGGTAACTATCTTTGGTAAACAAATCCTTTGTGGAGCTTCCAATATTTCCTCGGGGGCTGCAAGAAAATGAAAGTAAAATCAGCAAATATTAATATTATTTTCTTGACAATTTTAGCCTTGAGGGCGATAATTACGGTTCAAGGATATTTGTTGAAGAAAGGAAAAACCTGAAGAACAGCTTCTCCCCCCACCCTCTCCACACCCCTTCCCTACGGAAGGGATGCGGATCGGATGCATCGCACGTCTTCCCTTATAACTCATCAAATTTCCGTGACTGTTTGTACCCATTCATACTGCTAGGAGGTTAGACGTGCTTAGAGTCTAATATCAGTATGCATATTCTCCATAATGTTCTCTATACATTTCCTATGGTATTGATACGGAGAATTTGTTTATCAATCAAGAGCTTCTGAAGTTAGCGAATATTATTGTCTTTATTCCTATGACCTTAATGTTTGAATCAGTGGTAATCATGTAAGGAGAAGTTAGATCCTAGTCACGTATGGACCCGATAACATTGTGCAATGAATAGACCAGCCTATCGATCCTGAGTCAAGCTCGGTGATCATTGTGCAATTGCGTCTCCAGTTGCACAAGCCAGGTGCTACTTACGAGGATGGACGTTTTCCTGGAACAATCCTTTGGTATTTCCAGCGGGAGAATAACGCGCTACCGCAATCAGCTTGCCGTGTCCCACAGCAGTTGCCATTCCCACCTCTCTGGTCGCTTTCCAAACGATCTGAGTGAAATGCAATATTGGAGCGAATGGTGTCTTTGTCTCCCCTGTTGCGTAATCATAATCAATTTCCTCGTCGTACCACCGCGTCACGATCTCACCGCAGCTCAGGCATTCTGGTCCGAACTCACCGTAATTGCACAGTCTCTTGGAAGGACTCTTGTAGTAGAGGTTCTCACCCTGACCCTTGGCCCTCAGAGTTGGATCGTGAACAAATTCATCACGGCTTGCAAGGTAGTCAGCCCATTCCTGTGCCGCACGCGTTAGCTCCGCTGACCACCGAAGGGGAGGGGCGTTATGAAAACCTCTATAGCAGTTGTGCACTTCTAAGCAATCTTTCTGAAAACCTGACCGTTTAATGAAAGTGGATTAGAAAGATGTGGCATACTGGTTGATATTTTAAGGCATAAAGTACTTTATCATTTCTTGGGTGACGCACTCGGCTTTTTAAGATTAAGTACAGGAAGTTCTAGAATAATTTCCCGGAAGTTATCGTTAAGATTATGGAAAAAACTGTTTAGTCATGGAATATTCTGTCCAGCAAAAAAGGGCCATTGTAGTATACCCCATGTGGAGTATCAGTCCTTGAAACAAGACTAAGGTGGAGAAAGACGTTTTTTAGTTTTGTTACGAGCGTGGGACATAGAAAAAATTCTGAGTCCTCATGAGGAATCGAACCTCAGACCTTTAGATTTCTGCGCTCCTATGCTCAACACTGAGCCACTTAGACTATGGTGAGTGAGGCCCATTACGAAGTTCATTTATGAGACGCTTCCTGCAAACTGCTAGAATCAGCGATGTTTATAGCGTCATTTTTTGTAAAAAAGAATAAGAAAGATAGTAAGTTTTGAGCTCAGTAAAGAAATAGAGAAATATATTTTGCGTCTTATCACGAGCGTGGGACAAAGAAAAAAGTCTGAGTCCCCATGAGAAATCGAACGTCAGACGTTCGGATTTCCGAAAGTTCATTTACTAAATACAGAGGTACACAACGAGGGGGAATTGCGAATTGAACATAATTTTATCTGGAGACTTTTTTACCTGATGGTTCAGCGGTCTCCGGTGTAGGCTGCTCTGTCTGAGGTGCCATGGTCTCTGGTTCGATGGGTGGAGAAGGGGGCTTGGAACCTAACAGGTATAAGAAAAAAGTCTGAGTCCCCATGAGAAATCGAACGTCAGACGTTCGGATTTCCGAAAGTTCATTTACTAAATACAGAGGTACACAACGAGGGGGAATTGCGAATTGAACATAATTTTATCTGGAGACTTTTTTACCTGATGGTTCAGCGGTCTCCGGTGTAGGCTGCTCTGTCTGAGGTGCCATGGTCTCTGGTTCGATGGGTGGGGAAGGGGGCTTGGAACCTAACAGGTATCAGAAACCATCAACTGATTCGAAACTAGTAGAATCCTTTTGAATGTAAAGAAACAGTCTAAAAGACCTGCCGTCTAATGTAACAAAAATGTAGTGCATACAATTGTTTTGTTATGTCTATTCTTTAAGGAGGCTATGACACGATGGTTTGGGTCGTTTTATAACACGCGGAAAATTACGTTCAACTTGAGGATGATCACAAAATATTAGTTCGGACAGGTATTTAAAACTAAAACGGAAGAAGCACCAAAAACCATCGAGAAAGGTTAGGGATGAAACTGCACACATCTTAGTGTATCTCCTTAACTTTCATTTCCGTCGTTTGTTGGCCCACCTGGTTTAAGGCTGATTAGACAAATAAATGGGGTTTAGCGGTGGACAGTCTACGAGGGGGTCTTCTTGTCCACTGTTTCCAGCTGGAATTGGAATTTAAAATATTGGTTTTAATTGAGGGAGGAAAACCAGAAGACCCGGAGAAAAACCCTCGGAGCAAGGTCGAGAACCACTGGGAATCGAACCAGGGCCACAGTGCTGGGAGGCAGGCGCTCTCACCAATGTTCTCCCTAAGAACACAACTGGTGCGGCTATCCTAAACCCAAACCGAATACTTACACAAGTTGCAGGTTCTACGACATTGCTGTATTGCATTCTCTGCCTTCCATTGATTGCAATAATTTTCAAGCGCCTGTCCGCCTCCCGTCTTGACTACAAGAGCATAACAGTCGGTGCGCTCGTCTTCGCAGACTATAGGAAACAAAAGTGAGAAAGTCTTTATCAAAAAGCCTACTAAGAATATAATTTCAATGATATCACTGATATCATATTGTATTTGTTTGTTTTTACTTAACTAACCGTTAAAGACCACTGTAATATCTCTATTGAGGGCAAAATGCCTCCAGTATATGCGAGTATTCTTTTGATCAGTAGAAGGATCAACAAAATCAAACATAGTCCAAGGTTACTAGTTGTCTATTTATCGCCAAGTCGTTTGCGATGTCTCTATCTGCCGTTTAGCTGCTCTTAAAAATTCTGCAAGTGGGGTGGAAATAAAACGGCTAGGAGGGCAAAATCCTCGCCCGTCATAAGTTAAACCTTTTTTGCAGTGAAAATCAATAAATTTAATGCTCCTTTAATTCTTACCAGCGGGTGATGGTGCTTTGCCTGTAAAGAGGAACAGAGAATCATTGATAAGTCTTTTCACACCCATTATCCAAAGGAAAAGTTTCATACCTAGTTCCACTTTTCTATGAGGGTAATTGCTCAAACTTTCATGACATATCTCAACATGTAGATATGCCGTTACTCAGTTGCTGATTTTAAGTATGTTACACGAGTACTAGATGACGGCTGTACGCTCCAAGAAGAGCCTGTATTTGTTTATATAAGAAGAGAGCGTCAATAATGGAAAACTAAGTTAACCATCGCAGTTAACCTAAAATAAACCATTTTCATGAAACGGGTTCCGTTTCTCTCGGATTGCTAGATAAAAGACAACCCTTTATTCCAGGTTTGTGGCAAACGGCCTGATAAGCGGTAAAATCCTCAACGATATTATGCAGCAAGAAAAAGCTCTAGATGTTTGGGATTGAAGTGATCGCATTAATATACTTACAGAATTTACAGGTGTTACGGCACTGTTTAACTGCCGGCGTGTTCTTGTGCTTCGAGCAGTATTCGTCTAAAGTTTCTCCTGGCCGCTTTGCTAATTCTTTGGGAATCCAACTGCAATCTCTTTCGTCTTTACACTCTGGCGATGAAGAATCAATTCAGAAGTGTCAACTTACTACTGACATTATCTACACTAGCCGCTTACAAAGGTGAAATTAACCCTAGGTGATGCAATTCTTTAGTTCAGTTTCCTAGTTCTTAAGCCTGTTAACTATGCATGAATTGTCTCCTTATTTTTGTCCGAGATTAATTTTCAATTGAATGTCGAAAGTGATCCTAGATTGCATTGGTTTGGCTTTAGATGGTAACGAGACAGATAATTACTCTCCCCGGCCAAGAAAAACTTATCATGCTGGCTGCAATTTTGTATTCTGAAGGAAAGGCGGGAATATGACGGCAGGATGACAGAAGAGAGATGCTTTCCCACCCGAAAAATATCTAAATGCAGCCTAGAAAAAAACAAAAAAATCTTAATCAAGAAATCTCCTTTCAAATCATATTGTGCTTGTTTGTTTGTACTTTTAGAACTGTAGAGAACCTTTGTAATATCTCTATTGAGGGGACACATATCAAAGTCCCCAAATTGCCTCGATTGAAGGAGAATACCTTCAGTATGTAATTTTTTGATCGGTAGTAGGATCAACAGAATCAAACATAGTTCGTATTTTTCAATTTATCGCCAAGTCTTTTACGATTTCTCTAGCTGCTAATTAAAATTCTGCTGGTGGGTTGGAAATAGGACGAATAGGAGGGAAAAATCTACGCCCGCCCAAAATTATTGACACCTTTTCTGCTGTGAAAATCAACAAATTCAATACTCCTTTGATTCTTACCAGCGGGGGATGGCTCTTCGCCTGTAGAGAGCAAAAAGAAGCATTGATAAGTATTTTCACTCCCACGTTCCAATAGAAAATTTTCATACCTGCTAATTCCAAATTTCTATGAAAGTAATTGCTAAGAATCTCGTGACACATCTTAACATGTTGGTTTTCCGTAACTCGATTGCTGATTTTACGTGTGTTACACGGGTGAAAGATGATCTATACGCTCCAATGAAGAGCCTATATCTGATTATATATGAAGAGAGCGTCAATAACGGAAAGCTGAGTTAACCGACACAAAGAGCGGCAGAGTAAGTTAGCTAAAATAAACCAATTGAATGAAGCAGGTTCCATTTCTCTCACATTGCTAAAGAAAACTGAGAAGAACCTTCTTATACCAGGCTGGTGGTAAACACGGCTGAAGCTTATCAAAATTGCTGTGGCATTAAGCAACGCCGAGAATTGACTCCTCCAAAAGAAAGGAAGACCGGTAAACCAGAAGTCAAATTAAACGAAACATAGTCCAAGGTTAAGAGCTTTCTATTTAACTCCAAGTCTTTTGTGATGTCGTTAGCTGCTATTTAAAATTCTGCAAGTGGGGCGGAAATAGGACGGCTAGGAGGGAAAAATCCTTGCCCGCCCTGAATCACACCCTTGTGCAGTGGAAATCGATAAATTCAATGCTCCTTTCACTCTTACCAGCGGGTGATGGTTCCTTGCCTGTGGAGAAGAAAAATAAGTATTGATAAGTATTTTCACCCTCGTCCAAAAGGAGGAGGATCCAAAGGAGAATATTTACACCTGTTAATTTCACATTTCTATGGGGGTAATTGCTCAGAATTTCGTGACACATCTTAACATGTCGGTATTGCGTGACTCAATTGCTGATTTTAAGCCTGTTACACGAGTACAAGATGATCTATAAGCTTCAAAGAAGAGCCTATATCTGATTATACAACAAGAGAATGTCAATAATGGAAAACTGGTCAATCGGCACAGGGAATAGCAGAGTAAGTTGCCTAAAATAAACCGATTTCATCGAGTGGGTTCCGTTTCTCTCGATTGCTAAATAGAAGAACAACTTTTATCCTAGGTTTGTGGCAAACACGGCTGAAGCTTGTCACAATTACTGTATCTTTGAGGATTTTACCGCTTATCAGGCCGCTTGGGTATAAAAATGTCTATCAGCCTCACTAACTATGTTTTTTCCACGGAAATGGCGATCAAAATGAAAAATTCAGCGTAACGATTATAATAAATCTTGTATTCATTGCCTCAGAGAGAACAAAATCAAAATTTTCGGGACATATGAAGAAAATCATGCAAGAATCGACGGCATGAAATTGTTCATACCCCTGTTTGAAACACACGCCCGCTACCTAAAGCAAATACAAAGGCACCTTTTTGAAAAGAAAGGGTTATCAAATGTATTGTGCTTGTTTGCTTGTGATTTAAAGTTTCTGTGTGGAGTCCAATAATGGATTTTGATACTCAGCCATTAATTCAGAAAACGGTTTCTTGGGTCTACAGATTAAGAGTCATTGAAAATTACTTTTTCTTGTGGAACTAGTCTTGAACAAACACTCAGTTTGTAAGGACAAGCTAAAGAGCAGGACGGAAGTGAAGAGCAAAAACATCCCTACTTCGATTTCCCAGTGTACTCTGTCCCCCCATTCCCTGCCTTCTATTTTATTCGTCTCAATCGACCAAAGCATGCAGCAGCTAGATTGGTATGTTAAATAATGAAGACACATTTCTTCCATAACACTCTATCCTTTCCAGTCTATCAAAATGCTGGATAATATTTATCTACAGTCTACACTGGTTTTTGAAAGGCCTTTCGTCGAACTTATATCTAAGGGAATTTGGTTTTATAAAATAGCCAGTAAATTTGTCTAATCAAATTCAATTGCGCGAGCGTGCTTTGTATTCCTATTATGCACGCTCATGACCAGTCGATGAACGCATGCTGACGTATGAACCAATTGTTAATTATCAACTGTGTTAAAAATGTGAATTAGACACCGTAAAGAGTTAAAAAAGCTGACGTTTTGAGTGTTAGGTCTTTATCAGAGTGAAACATATTTATATCCAAGCGACCTGATAAGCGGTAAAATCCTCAACGATATTGTGCAGCAAGAAAAAGCCCCAGGTATTTGTGATTGAAGTGATCGCATTAATATACTTACAGAATTTACAAGTGTCACGGCACTGTTTAATTGCCGGCGTGTTCTTGTGCTTCGAGCAGTATTCGTCTAAAGTTTCTCCTGGCCGCTTTGCTAATTCTTTGGGGATCCAACTGCAATCTCTTTCGTCTTTACACTCTGGCGATGAAGAACCAATTTAGCAGTGTCAACTTATTACTGACATTATCTACACTATCCGCCCACAAAGGTGAAATTAAGCCTAGGTGATGCAATTCTTTAGTTCAGTTTCCTAGTTCTTAAGCCTGTTAACTGTGTATGAATTGTCTCCTTATTTTTGTCTCAGAGCAATTTTCAATTGAATGTCAAAAGTGATCCTAGATTGCATTGGTTTGGCTTTAGATGGTAACGAGACAGATAATTACTCTCCCCGGCTAAGAAAAACTTATCGTGCTGGCTGCAATTTTGTATTCTGAAGGAAAGGCGGGAATATGACGGCAGGGTGACAGAGAAAAATGCTTTGCCACCCACAAAATATCTAAAATGGAGGCTAGATTAATAAAATGGGGGAAAGGGGTAGGTTTTTAGAGAAACTGTGGTGCTGCGTTCGTGGTGGGTTGATACAAAATAATTTAGTTTTATCAACTGAATTGATAAAGTAAATTGACCTCCGTAAAGAGTTTTTAAGGCTGAAAGAACTAGAAACTCTATGGAACTCTATGGAACTCTTTATGTTGGCAGATTCACATAATTATAACCAACTCAGTTGATAAAACCACATTATCAGGATTAAAATAACGCTGCTACTTTATTCTTACCAACGGGGGCTGGTGCTTTACCTGTGGAGAGCGAAAAAACGAATGTAATTAGCATTTAAAATGTACACATTAATCCGAGCCTTCCTTAAAAAAACCACCTCTACTCGCAAAATTTGCACTCTTGGCGAAATTTTTGCACCGGGGGTTAGTCCTTCCTTATATTTCATTACTCGCCAAGCTCCTGTCGCTTTATAATGACGAGAAAGGTTTTTTGAAAGACCTACCAAGGGCATAGAATTATGTCCAAGGAGCACATTGTTTCAAATGAGTGTCGAAAATAATCCGCGATAATATTGGTTTTGCTTCACTACGCTCTGTGATTGGTCCAGAAAACTTTTGCCACCTTCTTAACCAATGAGATGCAACAATAGAGCAATTCTAATGGAATGTCAAAAGTAAACCTTAACTTTGCTCTATGATTGGTCCATAAAACTCGCACCACTATCTGAACCGTTTTCTCGTGCTTCAAGCAGTTTACTTGTTTTTTTACTTATAATTCTCAATGACTGTTAAGGTTATCTTCCTTCCTCCCGATTGGCCGTTGTGATTAATTTGGTTTTGGTTTACAACACTTCATCTAAAAGCGCTCGAACACCAACCGCGACTTTGTCACCAGCGTTTTCCTGCGCTTTTGGTGGTTTGTTGGTTGCTGATTTGAGTATTGATGGGCCTCTTGTAATTTTCGTTGCTGTAATTTGCCTAATTACTTTGGTTATGATTTAACGAAATTTAATCGAAATGTGCCCCAGAGGATATCGCAATAATACTTACAGAATTTACAAGTCTTGCGGCATTGTTTAACTGCCGGCGTGTTCTTGTGCTTCGAGCAATATTCGTCTAAATTTTCTCCTGGCCGCTTTGCTAATTCATTGGGGATCCAACTGCAATCTCTTTCGTCTTTACACTCTGCCGATAAAGAACGAGAACGAGTTAAATATAGTCAACTTATAACATCACCTATAGTCTTCTGAAAAATTAGTAGTTTAACTTTAAGAAATTAAAGAACTTAATGTTTTTTTTTATGATTGTAGACCGATTTATCACAGTAAACAAAATCCTCATAGAAGTGGCATATATATCCCACCAAATTTCCAACCCCCCTCCCCCTCCCTCACCAAAATTGCGCGTTTGGCAGACATACCGGTGATAAATGCGACGATCATAACGTTGTAGCATCATCTTTGCCATTTGATTGAGTGAGAGAGTCAATTTATCATGTTTCCAGCAGAGCCCAGCAGACTGCAACGTCGAATTTTGTCTTAGAATGACCCAATTTCTCATTCCGTTCCACCTTTTTACACTCTACGGTCCCTTTCTTCGTTAAATATGAATCAGAAAATTACCTTAATTATGCGACAGTTATATACCATATCGTTGCCAATTATGAATAATTAATGAAGGTTATGGAAACACCTCTAGTACTGATAACGGTAGGATATGGGTTTTGAGTTTCAATAAAATATAGCACTGATGAAACAATAATCGGTCAATAAATAGATACATTCGATGCCGAGGAACAAATGAAGACAGTGACTTGCCTGCACTGTCAGCGAAGGAGTTGAAGTCCTCCGGGAAATCTGAGATATAAAATAAAAAAAAATCGGAACTGTTGCACAGAAATTTGATAAGCAGAATTTAATCACAATGAAAATTGGAAACAAGCTGAATTAAAAAATCATAAGATTTTACTCACTGAGATAAAAAATTAAGTTGCGACGGTTGCACAGAATTTCAAAACACAGAAATTATCGACGCTATAAACTTGGAAACAAGCTGAATTAATTCAACTGTCAAAAAGTTTTACTTACCGTGAGCAAATTCGCCTTTGATATTGCTTAACGGCACTGCTCTATTCAATTGGAAACTCATTACCAAGATCGTTGACAAAGTCATAATCATTTTCAAGCTCGCCATTTTTCCGTTTTGAAATAAGCGCGCTTTTAGGCACAAAGGGTGTTTGATGTTGAGTACTCGACGTCACGTTCAAATTGAACACAAAAAAGCCTTCCTACCCTAAAATAGCTGTTGAAATGATCGTTCATATTCTAATTGAGCTTTGAACAAAGAGTATTTACAAAATAGTTCAAATTGTTTCGAAACATGTTCTGACTCTTACTTTGACCTGTCAATCACGCTGTGTTTGTTTGGATAAACTGCACGTATCGGCAAAACAGTTCTTTATTCAATATTTTTCTTCCAATATTTTCTTTCTTGATTGTATCGCAGTGTTCGATGGTGAGAGCACAGTCCTGACACCAGTGCATATGAGCCTAACAGACCAATAATTAGCGATGGCGTCCTCTTTATAAACTAACTGACTGAGCGTTCCTTTGAAAATAATTAGTAAGGCAACATCATAATTGTCCAATGGAGCTTGAAATCTCCTAGCCGTTGAAGCAAAGTTGGTCAAATGGAAAGTCATTAAGTTTCGTAGGCTATAATTAATCTTCTGTTAGTGGCCTACTATATCGATCAGCCATAGGCTATTACCGATGTAAAATTTCAAACGAATGATCGGAAGATTTGTAAAACTTCTATCTTGATTAAGAAGAGTAAATGTTGCTGGGAAGATTTTCGGAGAAAATTCAGCAGCGACATATTTTGGCGCCAAAAATTTGGTACGATTCACTTCAGAGCCGTGAGGGAATTTAATACATATTTTATAAGCGTCAGATTAACATCAACCTGACTATCGTATTGTACTTACCAAAGTTAATCTCGTCAATAGAATTATGCAGAGGTACTGCATCGCTAAGATGCACGAATTCGGAAGTCAAGAATATTAAGAAGAATGTTACAAATAGTTTGAAAATTTCCATCTCATGCTTGGACTCCAGCTTTCAAAATTATTTCTGAACAGCAACACCACAGTCAGGTCTGTTCAAATTTGAAATTTGTCGATAGCCTCTTCAACGGCAAAAAATTCTTAAGAGATGCCTATTCATATCATAATTAGCTTTAAGAACTTCTTTTGAAATCTTATTCAATTATTTTAAGGCAATGTTTATTTTCAAAAGAGACTCCATAATCTTTTCGGCCAATCACGAGCGTTTGCTATAATATTGTTTACAAAACAAGGCCGTTGGGAACGCTTTTTGAACAGACAATTTCAATTAATTTACATTATATTGCACGAACAAATAAATCTTCGTTGTAGTTACGAACTCTAAATCCTAGGTTGATACGTGCAGACCGCCTCGAGTTAAAAGTTGCATGATTAAAAAACTTCGTAGGATGGGCCGAGAGGTAACCAGGCGGCAAAGCCTTTCACCTTTGAAAGCCTTAAAGGAATGAAAGAGTAAATTCTCACTACGACGTCAAAACGTCTGGTAAACTGGTGAAGAGAATTGAAAGACGTTTTAGTATTGATATAAAACCTAATTCTCTCAACTTTGTTGCGCGGAATAAATTGTCAGCTGGTATTGAGAATCTTTTATCAGATCATGGGTTAGATTTTAAAGGGTTACGTTTGCTGGATACTTACGTGGATCGTTTTTCTCCACGAAAACGCTCATGGGAACACCTGACCAACTTAATCCACGTTGAGGTGCGCCATTGAGGGCGGAAAATTGGACAGCGATGAGAAAAAAACTGATGCAATACAGGCTGTTCATCTTTGCTTTCTGCAGAAATAAGATACATTCAGGTTGGAGAGCTGAGAAATAAGCCCTTATATTCATGTATAGCGTAAATTTATTTAATTTATCATTGACAGAGGAGCTGAGCTCATTGCTAACGATCAAAGAAGTAGGTCGTACTTTTGGAGTTTGAACCATATTCTGTGTTGCCGATTTGAAAAGGTCTAAAACGTTTTGTGTCTCCTTAATAAAGATTAACAAGTCCTGGATGGCACTTTCCAATAGATTATCTCTATCGAAAATAGCAATTGAGGAACACAATTAAATAATTTGGGATTGGATTGGCTCGGATGCCCTCAACTACGCTATTTGACCTACCTAGAGATTTCAACCCACCACTTCAACAAATCAAATGCAAAACCAAACTCGATCAATCGTGACTCAACGATTCACGCTCCCCAGCGCTTGTTGTTGGCTATTTTTATATACTTAAGTCTCCGTTTGACTTCATCGATATTAGCCCTTGTTCTTTATTGTTTGGTTGGTGTTTCTGATATGTCTAATTATTACAATACTCAATCGAATAGTGCCCTGAGCAAGTTTTGTTTCACGGACACCAGCTTAATTTGTGCTCTCGAATAGTGCTGATAACTGAAAAGGAATCGTTTGCTGAAAGGTTTGAAAAACATTTTATGAAATATTTAATGACCACCCCAGACAACTTTTTTTTACGAAATATTTCAAAGGCATGGTACGAATCAATGTAAACAAAAACAACAGTTTTACAATTTCAAAATCATACAGAATATGATTTTATAGTTTGCATTTTCGAAAACGTATCATCGACTAAAATCAAACTTTATGTGATGTTGATCTTTAAAAAACAGTAAACTTACCCTCGCAAGCTCGTTACAAAGTCAGAAACATGGATGGAATGCGAAAAAAGAAAAAACACAAGTTATATATGCTGTATCGTATTAAAAAATTGGCAGCTTATATTTATCATAAATTTTTCTGACGCCTAGTCGACTCCGAAAAAGAAAATACTAACAATATAGAGCTTTCTGGCTAAATTGCGGTAACAGTATTGCGGTAACAGTATTGTCGTGGTATTACGCCTTCGGCATGTTAAAGTATGTAAACAAAATGCCGTAACGGATCTGTCAATGAATATAATGTTAAAAGAAAGAACCCGTTTTTGATACTCAGTCAGTGTCAGTCGTCTCGCCTATTAATCTTTTGTTGAAAAAACAAACACCTTGGAAAGAAAGCTGAGAGGCAAAGGTATCAATGAGAAGAAGAAGAAAAAATAAAAAACGGTTGAACCCCCATGGGGTTTCACAGTGTACAGAGAGAACCAGGGAGCGACAAAGTAAAGAGGGGGGTTCTACGAATAAGGTTCTCGGGAAAAACTAGAAAAGATATTAATTGAATGATATTTTTCAGAAAAAAAGGTAATTTTTGACATGTAGATAAAAATTGTGAGAAGGGAGAGGTGAATTTTCGAAGCCCTGTGTCATTAAACTTCCATTTAAAGCATCTTTGAAGCCATTTATGAAGTAGGAGTGAGGGGAGGGGAGGGAGGAGAGGGTTTTTTTTTTTGTTAGTTTTTTTTTTAGCGATAGGACAAAAAGTCAATTGGTATTTCTTTGCAGATTGTAAATTGTAGTTTTTTATAGTTCTAAATCTGCACCGATCTTGCAAAGGTTGTCACGGGTCTTAGCTTATCAAAAAACGCATGACATGGCTTCAGTACGTTCTAACTTATCGATTTAAAAATGTTCATATATAGATTTTAGGAATATCAGCGGATACATGACATGTTGGGCTTTAATTTATCTCGGCTCAGTATCTGTGGTAAGAGGTGCAGCTATTGTTACATTCTAAATTCTCGACCGCACCTTCATCCAAGATGAAAACTAAATAACGAAAATATTGAAGAGGGCTTTCCCAAAATGTTTGAATTCTTTTACAGGTAACATAAAACAAATTTTTGTTAGAGCTAGAGATATTTGCTTTTGGAGGGAATGTCTTTGCAGTTCTATATCAATACAATTGCTTTGTTTTTTTGCTTTTTTCGAAAAGGAATGAAACCTTTCAGTAATGACCAGCGGAAGTAACTGATATGGACCGCATTTTATCATGAAGTGAAAATACTAGCTTGCAAAAATAATTGCGAAGATGGATGTGATTAGTAGAACGCTGTTTTCGTTTGTTGTTGTTTTTAAAACTGTTAATGTTATTGACACTCTCAAAATAAAGCAACATTTTCTGTGGGTCAATTGTTAGTTCAAATAAGGAGGTGCACATTCTGTGCATAAACTTGTAACGGCGTGGAAATAATATTCACAAAGAGATTTTGGAACTTGAAAGCATCTAGTATATGACGAGACTCTTTTAGGTCCAGTTTACTAACAGAAGACAACAATATAACTTTCCTGACTTGCGAGGCACAGTCAGCCAACAGTGAAAACGCTTGCGCTTGGGTAATTAAACCACGATATTGTGGCGACGTGAACGTAACATTTATAAAACAGAAATCAGTAAGGAAATGCTTTCAATATCCGAATCAGTAAAATCACGGTTCATTTTTCTCTTATTTGAGCTTTCTTGTTCGATTTTCAGTGAACATTGTCCAGACATACAATACAAAACAATCGTTAAGTAAGGGACAAGAAGCTGACCGTGTTAACCCTTTCACTGCAAGATCTCATTAGTAATCTCCTTACTGCATGCCCTATAATTCTTATAATGTTAGTTCGGAGATTTTGATATTGGATCAATTGATATTTTTCTTTATTCTTATCACTTGTTTGCTCGATATTGTATTGATATTGTATGAAAAAATTATATCTTGGTCACTCATGAGAGCAAGGGTTAACGGTGAAAACGACCGAGTAGTACAGTCTAAACCTCAGTCAGCACTCCGGTCGATGGAAGAAAGCCCCCGTAAGAGCACATTATTTACAGTCTCGACCAGATGAACAAAAATCTACCCTGAGATCATTCTCTCTTATCTTGATACTTTCTCTGATCTCAAGATGTCGGCTCGGGTAGATTCTACGATATAACGAAAAATTTTGTATTTCCATGGAATCAACGGAAATTTGATTAGAAATATTTATCAGTTTCAAACACGTCTTTCTAAAATTATAGGACACTGGGTATTGCGGCGCAAATAGATCAAGTTACCTGCTGGGACATGAAATATGCGTGGGAACAGTTACAGGCAGAAACATAACAGAAACGGAATGACGAAGGAAAATGTCCTGGGATACAGAGCAAGATACTGAAGGAAACTTTCCACGTGGATACGAGATGCTGAAGATAAAAAAGCGAAAAATGCTATCGTAAAAACTTTAAAATTAATATATTTTAAACTGATTTATCTTAATTTACAACCTTTTATAGTTCATATCAGGGAGAGATTGAGAGCTCGATTACCATCCACTGTCTGGGAAATGAGCCCGCGCTCCTTGTCCAAACGGTGGAAATAAAGTTTTGGAGGGATGTAGGAGACTGATCATGACGAAAAAAGAAATTGGATACGTCATTCCGAGTTTGAAAGGAAGAAGGCACGAAGTTCCTCATGGGACAGAAAGGCAAATACAAAGCAAATTTTTTTAAGCTTATCATCTCTACTCTCATCTGGAGAGTAGAGATGGAGAATCTGAACCTTACCTGGCTGGGGTGGGGAATTTGAACCGGAATTTTCAAGTCTTTTCAGCGGAATACAAGTGGTATATCTTTAAATATGGAGGTGTTTTGTCGTTCACTTTCGTCAGCGAAGGGCTCTATCAGACGAAGTGATCTACCACGTCTATGTTTTTAAGTTTGGTCAACGTGTAGAAAATCACAGTCGCAGGCAGGAGGGGAATTTGAACAAACTAATGTCCAAAAGTTCAATGTGCTGAATGTTGTTGGGATGTTGGAACTTCAAATTGATCGACGCGTATAGGTTGAAGTCTATATCGAGAAAAGTGTGATTTGATGGATTTAGTCCATGATGCACCGTAATTCATGAAGTAATCGCTATTCAATTAAGTTCGTATTTCTGCGCATGGACCAGCTGACTGTCGATATCGTTGGTTACGTGACATAATTTCTGGCGGCGAAGCTTCGACAGCGAGCAACAAGCGTACCCCGACCTCACTCTCCTTGCGCGGTTAGTACGTTCGAAGGCCAATTGTGCGACAGCGCACAAGCCTCTTTTGTAACTGCGCAGGGGGCAGATAAAAAAAGGAAAAAAAAAGGTAAAAGCGCAAAATAAAACTCTTCAAGCTAAGAGTAACGGTCGGTGTTTTCCCGCTTGATGAAACACAATGTTTCAGCGCAGTACCCTTATTGTAAGCCTTCAATTAAGCACGTGACCACAAGCTACGGTGCGTCATTAAATTTACACATAAGAGCTTTATTCTGCTCTAAATTTACAAATATGTAAATATATTACTTAACAAATTGTATCGATGACACAACATCTGTTTCATTTCTCTCCGTTAATACATAAATATTTTTAAAGCAATTACAAGAAGAGAGTTGCCGCTAATTATTTAGGCTCTTCCGAGCTTACTCGAGTAATCTATCAATTGTTGAAGAAAGCCGTCGTTAGGTGAAATTTCTCGCTTGCTCCGCACGATTCTCACCGCCTCCTTAAGTTCCATTTCTTGATCTCTCACTAAGTAGGCCAAGACAAGGCTTGCGGATCGGCTAACGCCCTCCTTACAGTGGACATAAATCTTCCCGTTAAGCTTTTCAGAGTTCTTGGTTCCGACCGCTTTGGCGATGAAATCGCACGCTTCGTCAAAATAGCGGTCAAGTTTGAAAGTGAACATATCCATGGCAGGTATGCCATGGTAGATGATGCCAGATCCCCTATAATAATCAGGGCCTGTTTGGACGTGGTAATACTTGTTTCCATGCGCGGCATTCAGTATATGGGTGATGCCAAGGTCTTGTAGCTCCCCTTCATTCATGGCCGTTGATCTGGAAAGAAACAGGGTAGAGACACGTAATCTTACCGACCATAAAGACCGGATTCAGCCCAGCTCGAGCGAGCGAGAAGTCACGCGCGAGGTTCAGATGACGCTCTTTTCCCGCAATTGTGATCTCACTCAGGCGCGTGATTCGCATTCTTGCCGACTTATGCACGCACACTTTTCGCGCACAAAACCACACAACAAAATTTTTCAGTTACAGCACGAATCGCGACCAGTGCGAAGCCTTTAATTTTTTCTCTCACTCGAAAATCGATGATATATTTCACAAAAAAAGAGGAGAATAGCTTTCTTTTGTTACCTCTAGATTTCTGGGAATGGTTTAAATGCAATATTTTTTTGGCAAAAAAGTATTTTTGAAGGAAAAGCAGACTCTTCACTGAGAGTGGCTTCGATACCACGAAATCTGCCTCATGAATGGAAAAAAGAAATAGAATGAAAGATATATAGCGAAAGATGAAACATACCGACATGTTACGTGTAAATGTCCTAAAACTTAGTATTCGCGACAAACAACACAGAAGCCTTCTGGAGAAAAGAGTTTTTATTTCAGGTTACCCCTGTCCTAATCCTCCGATGCAGTTTGTTTATATCTCGATTTTTAATCAAAAGAGAGTATGTGGGACCTCTAGATATATATTTAGCAAATAGATTCCAAGTTGCCGAGCGTCTGTTCAGTAATAGATTACAGATGACGTCAAAACTACGGTAAGAACAAAAAAGTGACAAACGAGGCGCAGCCGTGTGTGTCACTGATGACGTCATCTATACGTCTGTCCTCCAATAGATCATAAGTGAGAACCAATCAGAATGCGTGCACAACTGAGCTTATTATATAAAAATGGATGATATTTCCCTGAAAACAGCTGCCCATCACTTGGTAGACTTTTCTGAAAACCAGCACTTTTCGCCCAAGTTGGGGCCTGAAACAACGTTACCATGGAAAAAAAAAGACACCCATCAAGACTGTAGCGACGGTGTCAGAGGATGTGATGTTGCAATGAATACTGCTAAAGCTAAAAATGGTTAAATTTTCTGGGATGACCACCTTCAACTCGGAAATTTGATGAGTGACCGAAATGGCCCACTTGGCAAGGCACAATAATTCCCTCTCATGAGTATGCAGGTGAAAGAAATATTGTGCCTTGCAACCTCGTCTAACAAATTTTCAGTGAAAACAAAAACGACAACGACAAACATAACAAAGGAAAATAAAGTGCGGAGACACAATATGGAAATTAAGCATGTTTTGCGTCTAGCCGCTCAAAGATAGCTTTAACGCAGATGTTACACGCCCACTCAATAATCCCCCAAAATTTGTTTTTGAGGATTACCTGAGAAGCGACAATTAAGTTTGCGAGGGAAATGCAAGCACTATGAAATATTAAATCTCTTTTTTGAAGTCAACAAGTGTGATGACTTTCCGTGAAAAAATTCCATTTTAAAATCGTTATCCAAATTTCTGTGCGTTACGGGCAGGCGTTACTTGCGTGACAAAAATGTCCCATACTACCGGACGTGGACGCCACGTTCGGTACATCTGCGGTGCTGCACATCTGTTCTCATTTTTTTTAAGAGCGAAAGAAGACTTTTTAATTTAAAAACGTCAATGCCAGGCAAACGACTTCCTTTGCTGCATGGCACCAAATATAAAGGGCAGGAACTCGGGATAGAGCGATTAGAATATTTTATCTTAAAATCTGAATTAAATTGCTATGATCTCCGAGGACAATTTCAATCCCTTCGTGAAATACAAAAAGGAATGAGAAACCACCTCTTCGCCTGAGAAAAATTACCCTGATGAGCAACGTGATGCTGTACTCGTTTAGGATTCACATGGAGCGCTCGCTTTCAGAACAACATGTGAAAGAATTCGCAGAAGAGCTCAGAGGAAAAGTACCCAAAATATCTAAATCCCAAGCTTTGACGAACAAAGCTATCTAAACCATGATCGATCTTTGATCTCACTTAAAATGGCTCAGAGAATCAACTCTTCGAAGAACAGCTGAAAACAACTAACAATGTTCATAGCTGACTATATAAAACAGCTGGAAAAATTAAACTGCACTTACGCTTCGCCAATGAAGATTCCGTTAAAAACTTCGTTGTAAGCATCATTAGGCATCATATAGAAACCACCAGCAGGCTCAGTTATAATAAATTGTAAGTCCTTGACGGTGGTTTTCGGAGAAAGTGAGGACGCAGCACTAGACACCTCCTGCTCTTCAGCCATTTTGTTTGTTTGGCAACGACTGGTTCCGGTTTGCAATATTGAATTGCATTATGGGCCGACTTAAGATGGCGGTCGTGGGACATGTCTTTTCCGCTTCAACAGGTGAAAGGGTTTAATTAAGTCAAACTCGTTGACATGGACACGAAAGTGCGGTTATAACGGATTATGCTACAGTCTCAACGAGAATACCATCGTATACGGTGGTCCTATAGATTTATTTTTGGTTATACAAAGAGGAATCTGGTGTTGGAAACTGAGCACAAACAGAAAGAAAGATGGTTGAAGTCGACATCGTAGAATTAACAGTCACATGTGTAGCAGCGGCGATAATTATAGCAGCCCTCGGTGTTTTGTTATTCTACTTCTGCACAACTCGAACGCAAAGACAGAGATGCCGCAAAAGATGCATGAACTCACGTCAAAGTGTCGAACACGTGCAGAACCAAAGAGCACCAAATAGCTAAGAGCAGTGAAAAAGAGAAAAACTGTAATCCCGCTCCAACCAGCGACGTGAAGGAGACCTCGTTGAGAAATTGAAATATCGTGTCACGATACATCGACAAAATTCTGTCCTACAAAAGATTAAAGGAGAGACAAATGATAGAGTTTTACGGGATGGAAAAATGATACTGAAACTGCTACAGTATTAACAACAGAAAGAGTAAAATAGCATTGGAGAACAACAAAGAGACTTTGAGTGAAGTGAACTATAAGATTGTCTGCAAGACTCTCGGACATATTTCAGAAATAATCTATTACAAGCTGAAAAATGTGTTTAATCCTTCAAGGAAAACTTATTTAAAATGATTCTTGAAATATTTCTAACCACAAACACGGTACACCTTATTAAAAACAAATCTTACATCATAAAGAAAAAGCTACAATTCTGTTAAGAAATTGATGACAATCGACAAATTATATCTGATGAGGTTGTACCCTTTAAGCCCTGTTTACAAATTGAATTTTAGTGTTAAAAGATTTGAGAGGACCATCCACTTTAGGCTTTGATAATATGGTATACATTTTGAAGCTTATTTCAATTGAGTGTCTGACAACGAAAAACCAGATTATTCACAGTGGCCAATCAGAAGAAAGGAAAATATCACAAGGAGGCAATAATAACTTAACCCAGTAACTCCCAATGTCTGATTGTCAATTCTCTCCTCCAGCTGCTGTATATTTCCTCCTAAATTAGTTACAAGAATTCACTGTTAGATCAAGACAACAACTTCTACCTGATAAGTTTGAGTATTCTCGTCAGCCGTTTGCTGGAGAGAGTATGGATATTAAAGGGAGAAGTTATATGTTAATCACCTCTGGGAGTTAAAGGGTTAAAGTAAAAACAAGCAAAATGTATAAGGCACAGTCAGGAAAATGTGGGGGATCAAGCAGTGATAAGCTTTTGTTCTGCATCTGAATTGAAGCAAGTTTTTAAGACTGAACATAGAGTGCCATGAAGCAAAACCAAACCAATTCTGCTTTACCTTGGACACTCAATAGGAATTAAGGAGTTGAACATCATAACTGCTGATGCTTTAGCCAATTTGAGCCATAAATCAAGTGAGAATGTAGTAAGAGTCAGTTGTCCCTCTGTAACCACAGGACAGAAATAGTTTTCTCTATATTCTGTGATCAACATGGTTGGTCACTCCCAAATCATTTTCTTTTGCTCTAGTTCTTCTCTCTGCTTGTCTTGTATCTGCTCTAATTCTTCTTCAGTTGTTGCCTCAGTTAAATCCACATCCAGCTCTTCTGTTCTCTCGAGGGCTTCCTTCATGAGCGCTTTTGGACTTGGTAGTTTCATAAATGCATCAAATACAGTTGGCACGCTGAGTATCTGTTGATCACCTAGGTAAAGGAATGAGCACAGCTGTCATTAAAATCTTGTCAACTTTTCATCTTGGATCCTTTATGACATTTTCATCAAAAAGTTAATTATTGACCTCTTGAAGGAACTGTTACTTCACATGGTGTATTTGAGAGTTTCTGCAGGTCTTAGAAAGTAATGGACATTTCAGTCTGGGCTGGAGAACTAGTCTGAAATGGCCAGAGATTGATTTTAAAGAACAAATTTGACATGGAAGCACAAAAAAGGACAAGAAAAGATGGAAATATAAATGATCACACAATTACACATATGAACTCTGTTGCAAACCATAATTCAAAATCCTGATGCAGGCCATGAATCAATGAAGTAATCATAGTCATGTACCTCTCTGTTTTGTGACAAGAAGTCCTAAGTTCTCCAGTTGTTTTAAAGGTTCTAGTGGATCATATTTCAGTGTCACTTGAAACTTGAGATTCATCCAATCCTCTACATGCTGCTTCAGCTCACCAACTGTCATTCCTTCAGAGTGCAACCCAGTTCTGTGACCACCACCTAGACAAAGTTATTTACAGAGAGGTATAAAGATAAACCAGTTCACCAGTTTCAGTCAATGATTAATTCTGTTACTCTCATGACCTTAGTAAATGATTAGGCAGTATTGATGTAAGGAGAACAGGGCGTGAAATTAACTTTTTTTTCTGATAGCCACTTGGCTCCTAAATTCTTCAAAGTGGTAGCCAATTCAAAAAAAGTTGGTTGCCATTTTCAAAGACAAACAAATTCTTTCTTTACACTGTCAGCGTTTTAGATAGACCCTCCAAAATTAAGTTAGGGAAAAGATCTTTAACGTGCTACAAAGTGGACACTAGGATGGATGATATACAACTTTCAGGCTCATCTAAATCCAAGATGGCGTCTAGTTATCGATCGAGATGCATGTGCTACGTTTTGGAAACAAACTTAATGAGGAAATTTGCCGCGGATTTATCTTTGCAAATCTTTTTAATTCGCTATATCTCTTGGTAAGGTTATGATGAAACGTTCTAGTGGCCAATTTGGCGACTAACTTTCAGGATTTGGTCGCCAAAGTGAAGAATTTAGGCGCATTGGCGCCTGTATTAGGCGCAATTTCACGCCCTGGAGAATTAAATACTGGTCACTCTTAAGGCTTGAAAGGGTTAAAGAAAGACTGAGAGCAGGCAAGGAAAGTATACCAAAGCTTTCCCATGCCAAATGTTGAAATTAATGAAAGAGGGGCTGTCAGGAGGCAAAAGAAAGGGAACTGACTGAGCTAGCTGATTCAAAACATAAATCCAAAAGAAAAAAACTCAGTCCATAACTTGCAGTAAGGAGCTCACATTAAGACAGTAAGAGGTATTCATTATGCACAATTTGTGAATCAAATTTCAAGAACTGATATAATTAAGTTCAGAACAACCTAGCCAAGAACAATAACCATAAAACAGACATTTGAATAAAAATTAAATATTCCCTAAAGTACCTGATAAGTTTAAAGGAGCTTGAAGGAAGCTGTATGCCAAAAGGGTTCCCTTAAACACCTCATCTTCAGCTCTGTCAGCCAGCAAAGTAAATAAGGCACGATTGTTTGCAATGGCCTTAAAGTAGAGGGTCTGTGACAAGCGCACAAGATAAGAATTCCTTTTGTTTTTGTAAATCGTCCATGCTCTTGCAGCCACAACTCCTGCCACAGATATGGCAATATAAATCCATGATATCTTGTAATCAGCCAGGAAAGAAACAAGCTTTATCACTACACTTGCTGCACCAATTGTCAAAGTTGCTGCCAATACTCGTTGATCAAACTTTGTCATCCTTATTTTTCCTTCTGGAAGTAACTGCTCCAGATTGGCACATCGAATGTCCTTGAAGGACTTAAGCATTAGTTTACTCTGCTTTTTAGCACGAATGGCGATAACCACCCTCTTGTATCTCTCAGCCTTTATTGGTGGTTTAAACCTTTTAACAACTCTACTGGCAACTCTGGAGTACCATCGACCTGTGTTGTCAGGTTCAAACTCTTTTCCAACAACCCACACCCGCAGAACATCATATTTCTTTGGGTCAACACTGACAAGTACACCGTCTCCGGCATCATGTTCTTTTAAGGCACTGCGCACATCTTCAACAGGTAACTCATAAAAGTGAGCCTTTTCTAATAGTTGAGATAACTTTTCCAGTAGCCAGAATTCATTGTCAAGTCTTTCCTTCTTGGAAGTTTTATGGAGCGTTAAGGTCTCTTTGTCAGGGTTCAAAGGATCATACAAAGCCTTAAGAAGAAAAAAATTGTTTTTAGTTTGTTTTTCTTTAAACTTTCATTAGTTATGGTATGACTTAAAAAAAAAAAAAAAAAAAAAAACTCATGTGAAAGCATTGTTACTTCCTCACCAACTTTAGTCTTTACACTTGTACCTTGACAATTAATTAAATTAATGGCAAAATTTTAATAGAAAAAAATAGGGTGGGTGTAATAAAGTGACAAGTGCAAATAATTATTTTAGAGGTAAAAACAGCATTAGATAACCTCCTTTTTGCTCCTACTCTTGATTCATTGTCCTGCTTCCTTGATAAGGAGCTTGCTCCAATAGTTTACCACTCTCTATCAAAAGAGGGTCAAACTATATGTGAATGTGATGTATCCTACGGGGTAATCCCACAGAGACTTTTTCCAATGTGCTGGGTTAGGTCATCATTTATTTTGGACAGGAAAAGGTTTTGGAAATCAAGGCATAGAGGTATTTTTAAGGGGTAGTTTGTAGGGTGCTAGTTGCTCAATGCAGGTCCCCAGCAGAAGGGGCTCGTCTCTGCCGATTACTCGACGTTGCTACCTTATGTGGCCTTGACGAATTGAAATTTGTCATGTTTCTTCTTCTAACTTCCTAAGTTCAACCAATCATTAATTACGACGTATCTTTGCTTCTGATTTTCTTGCGGATGGTAACAACAGCGGTGACTTACCTTCAACTCCCCAAGAACTCCGTGAAACGTCCCAGCAATGGCATTGTCCAAGTTAACTGCAAGATTTTGAAAGTAACTTCTGTCATTCGAGTTTATCAGGTTCTCGTCTTCTACTATTCGCCTTATAAGCGCTTTTCTTGTCATAGGAACGAATTTTCGAGGGACGTAGTATTCAGATGTACCAGGCGTTCCTTGTTTAAGTGCAGTCGTTTGTTCCAGT